TGTGTGTGTGTGTGTGTGTGTGTGTGTGTGTGTGTGTGTGTGTGTGTATTCTTACATAAACAATTTCAGCTTTTAGGACTACCATTTCCAAACTCCAGGCTTATGATGAGATTACACCATGTAAAATTCTCTCTCTATTCCCTCTCATCCCATTCTCTTGAGTTTCTTTGGCCTTCCCAAATAGGTCCTGATAATCTCCCTGGTAATGGGCTTCTAATTCAGAAGTTCTATAGGCTTATTGTCTTATGAGCAGAGGTTCCCAAACTTTCTCAGTTCATGGTAACCTCCTTTAGCGTCTCAGTAATTTTTTCACAGTACCCCTAGGCCAAAAGAAATACCCAATGCTTCTGTTAATTAAATAGTTAGGTCCAAACAATTAAATAGTCAGCTAGGTGGCACAGGGGATAGAGAATTGGACCTGGAGTCAGAAAGACCCAAGTTCAATTGCCACCTCAGATAAGCTTGGACAAGTCACTTAACTTCTATCTGCCCAAGTTTCCTCAACTATAAAATGGGTATAAGAATAGCATCTACCTCCCACGGTTGTTGTGAGGATTAAAGGAGATAATATTTGTGAAGTACTTAGCACAATGTCTGGCACATAGCATGTGCTACACAAATGCTAACCATCATTATTACTACTGTTATTGCTATCCTAGCAATCTAGTAGTTGTCTGAGAAAGATAATATGTATAAATTGAAATAAAAAATATTTTATTTTATTCTTAAATAATCACAATTACTAATGGGATTACTAATTACACAATTACTAATGCACTTGTTGGGCACTGTACGATTTCTCAGCCCTTAAAATCAAACTGGACACTACCACCCTCATTTCCTATTCCACTTTGATTTTCTTGCCTTTGCAACAATAAGACGTAGTAAATGAAATTAGGATTTACTGAGCTTTAGCACTTAGAAGATATTCATCTTCATGATTATTGATTTGATTGTTTCTCTAGAAACTTTACAGGCATCATTAAATGAGAAATATTCTTTATTTCCAAGTTGTACATGAACAGATTTAGTTGCCTTAAGAGTAAGGAAAACTATATCTAATGAAGTCATCTATCTACCCCACCTTGGAAGAAAAAAAAAAGAAAAAAAAGAAAACCATGGAAAAAAAACCTTATCTGCAGCACCTCAGCACACTGCTTGTAAACTGTGGTTTTACAAGTCTTTATTTGTTAGACCTGTGATTTTATCAATGGAAGGAATTCCCAAACTCCCTGTACCAAAGCAGAGGGGCATCTTCTCTGCATGCTTGGAGCATTGAGAGGTTAAATGACTTGACCAGAAAAGCAGGACCTGAATCCAGTCTTCCAAGACTCAGAGGCCAGCTTTCTTAAGCTCTTACATGTGATCTCTCTCTCCACCTCTTTCTATTTGGCTTCAAACACTACTGGAGCCATCCATCCCATCTGGGCTCCCTTAACTAAGCATTTACCTGTGAGGATGCTCTCTTCCAGAAGGAGTCTACAGCATTGTTCTCACAGTCTTCTACTGTGGGGCAGGAGTGATAATCAAAACCTAAGGAAAAATCCAAAGTGTTTTATTGATTTGTTTTATCACAAGGGAAAGAAGTTAAGGCAAAAGACTGGCTGACTAGAACATATTAGAGATTTGTGAAACAGGTATGGGAATGGAGCTTGTAGGGTAGTACCATCATAGAACAATAGACTTTAGACTTAGAAATGACCTCAAAAGATCACCTGGTGTAGGTTCATGTCTTCAGCATGTGTATTATTGCCATTTATAGATGAGGCAACTGAGGCACAGAATGAGTGATAAAACGGCTCAAGGTCACATAATGTTTAGTTATAAGGCTCGACTAGAACCTCTGATCTCTTAGTGACAAAAATCACTTCTTGCACCAATTCCTCATGGTCCAGGTTTTGGATTTTAAACCCGAATCTTAATAATGATAATAATGGCTACCATTTCTATATTGCTTACTACCTGCCAAGCACTTTACAATTATCATCTCATTTGAGCTTCACAACAACTCTGGGAAGTAGATGCTATTATTGTCTCCATTTTACAGTTGAGGAAACTGAGGCAGATTCAGGTTAAGTGACTTGCCTAGGGTTACACAATGGGTAAACATCTGAGGTCAGATTTGAACTCAGACCTTCCTGACCTCAGGCCCAGTGTTCTAACCATTTAGCCACCTAATTACTAGTGTTTTCACGTATTCTGTACCATCTTGTTTTGTATAAAAGTACATTAGCAACTACTTCTAAATATAGTTTATTTTTTCTTTTTAGGAGGGGGTAGAAAAGGAACATAAGGAACTCCTGGGGTAGAAACTCCCTCCACCAATTTGTTTAACTTTCAGAGAGCTGCCTGGGGCATGAAGGCATCAAATGACTTGAGCATGGTCACATGGTTACTGCATGTTAGAAGCAAGTCTTAAACCCAAATTTTCCTCTTAGGCCAGGCTTTAGCTTCTACAGTATGCCTCCTCTTTCACGTATAATTTAGAAATAAATAATATTTCACCTTTGATGACATCTGTAGAGTTCATTAACTGCACAGTTCATTTCCTTCTAAATGCCATTAATGGGATGAAGTAGGTTCTGATGTTAAAAAAAAAAAAAACCCACATATTCTAACCTCCATCCATGCTCCCACAATTTGGTTAGTTTGAACAGCTTGAAATAGTAGGAAGAACACTGACTTTAGAGTCAGAAGACATAGATTAAAACGTAAACTTTGTCCCTTAATATCCATGTAACCTCAGAAAGTTAATAACAATAATAATAGCAACTGCCACTGACATAGCACTTCATGGTTTATAAAGTGGTTTGCAAATAACTCATTTGATACTCTAAATGATGCTGTGAAGTGATGTAGGTGCTCTTTTTATACCATTTTATAGATGAGGAAACTGAGACTGAGGAGTTAAGTGACTTGCTCAGGGTTACACAGCCAGTGAGTGTCTGAGATGAACTTAAATCTGGGTCTTCCAGACTCCAAATCTCAATGGCATCTACTATGGGATATGTCCTATCTGGGAACCTCAGTTTCTTCATTTGTAAATTGAAGAGAATGAACACTAAAGTCTCTTCCCAGTTGTAAATTCTATCATCTTCAGCTAGAGATTACAGATCTATTCTTTTGCATTCGAATGGGGGAAATGGATGAATAACATTGATGTTATAATTTATAACCAATATTGATGTTCTTTGTAGCATAGAAGCTTGATGAGAGGGCATAAATCAACACAATTATCCTACAATAATAGGGAATCAGAAAACCAGGTCTCTGTCTCTGTCTAGAGCAAACTTATCATTGGCTTCTCAGTGTTGGTTCTCCTTTGGATGACAAAGCAATTTTACCTGAGCCATTTTCTTGTCGACACCAATTGATGAGATCTCCTACTCTGCCATATAGCATATCAGTTACAGGTATCAGCCGGCGGGTGTTATCAGCATAAGCAGTAACAAGGTTGTAGTTATTTTCCCAGAACAACGACTAGAGAGAAAGATATTAAAATGATGTGGGAAAAAAAATCTCACTACCAGCTTTTTAAGCATATAAATCATGCAAGTTTTATGTAGGAACCAAAAGAGTTGCATTCTATTTTACTTCCATTTCTAACTTGCGAGGTGACAAATGATTGGTCCTGGCTTATCTTAAACACATTTCCCCCTTGGAAAAGGGATTGGATTTTAATTCTTTATCATAAGAAATATTTTGCAAAAATTAATGAAATGTTCAGCCAATTATATAAAATTCATATAAATTTAACTTTTCTGAATTGCAGTGGCTCATAGTCACATAACAGGGACTGGCCAATGAGTCCAGTCCATATGAACATGTGTAGAGCGGTCAGCTTATGCATTCTCCATGGGAACTTAGGGGCATGTGGAGACATGCTGTAACTGGGTCTGGTTTGCTAACAGGTTTACAAGAAGTCTTTTTGATTGGCTATGGGATTGAAATGGGTTTCATTCAAAAGGCGTTAAATATCAAGAACCATATTTTTTTGTTCTGAATCTTTCCTGCCTGCCTGTCTTCTGGCTAGAGAAGAGAGTAAAAGGAGAGAGGCCTCTGACCCTCCCCATCCAAGGCCAAAACGTAACCTATAAATACAGACTTCAGGTTCTTTATACTGATGTTAGGTTTTTCCTACGTTCCAGGTTTGATGGCCAGCCTGCTCAGCATCAAGGTCCGAGGGGAGGAACAGCCTTTGAGATGCAGCCCACCTCTAGTTTAGACGGGAACTGGTCCAGCATGGCAACTGGGCATGAGCTTGGTGGGTCCCACTCTGCCGCTCTGACTGTGCCTCCCACATGTTGGGGGGTAGGAAAATGTTTGTCCTTCAGTTCTTGTTCATCCATGTTAATTAGTTAAATGGAACTAAGGCATTAATCACTGGCAGCTGAAGGGCATGGCGGGGGGTGGGGGGGGAAGAATCTAGGGGATACACCCGAATTCAGGTTCACAACTTTTTCCAAGGGTGACCTTCTTGGTGTTACATGGTCTGAGGTCATTGCAAAGTATGCATGCTTTGTGTTCAGAACCAAAGCTGCAGTGAAGTTGCAGGTGCAGCACAGGCGAGAAAACCCCTCTGATTCTTTACATGTTTGATTTTCAATTAATTTTTGGTTGTTGCACATTCAGAAACCTTTTACTGTTGCCAAACTTTTCCCAACCCGATATGGGGTCATGCCCCACAGTTTAAGAAATGCTCTACAATGTAGAGAACTACTCAAGGATATTCCCGGAACTCTGAGGTCCTAGGATGGAGCAATCAGTACATTCATATAGTGCTTTTAAGATTTACAAAGTCCTTTTCTCTTGTAATAGGGCTGATCAGGGAACCCTCTGCTTAATTTTATGTGTTCCAACTTTGAAGGACTTAAAATCTTTGATCAACGTAATAACCAATCATGATTCCAAAACAGATGAAGAATTCTACCCATCTCCTGACAGAAACAATGTACTCAGTATACAGAATGAGACCTGATGTTTGGATATAGCCAAATAGTGGATATTTGGTTTGTTTGACTATCCATATTTGCTACAAGGGTTATCTTTTTCTTTTCCATTGCAGGACAGGGGTAGGGGTGGGTGGGAAATAAACTCTTGTTAAATGAAAACAATTAAAACACTTTTCATCATTTCCCCAATCAATTTCATGAGGTTACAAGTTACGGGCCTTGGTTTATAGGCTACTTTCTTAGAGGTACTAATCTACCCTGCAGCCCTGTGACAGGACAGAGGAAACCGCCCCCTCCCATTAGTTCCCAGTGGTTGAGGCTACCCTCAAGATGATGGAGATTTGAGTATGTGGGATGAACTCTTGTCAAAAGTGCACCCACCCCCACTCTACCCCCATGGATCTGGATTATGGAACTGGAGCAGTTCCTGTCTAATCCACATCTCTCTCTCTCTCTCTTTCTCTCTCTCTTTAGACCTCTCTCTCCATTTTTTCTCCTCTCCCATTCCCTTTCTCTTCCCTCCCCACACCCAGCCAAATATAGTGATTTGAAAGAGCAACACATGACACAAACAACATGTATTTGTCCAGGTGGCCTTAGGTTCTTAAACCTAATTTCTGACCACCTTTTGCCTCTCTCTAGCTTTTCTTGAACACAAATTAGAGACTAGAGTTTCTGAAAATGCACCTTCTACTCATTGTGCTCTTCATAATTCCAGATTCAAAAGTTCCCAAGAGACTGGGAGTTCCTGAGTTCAGTCCTTTGACTATGAGTCTCCTAGAGGTAGATGTCTTCAACTACATGCCTTTTAGAGAGGAAGGGAATACCACCAAGAAAGGAATGACCTTCAGTTGAAGGACCAAAGCCATGCTGTGGGGCAAGATATATAGAGCATATTTAACCATTATTGTATTCCTAAGAGTAAAGGGAAATTACATATCTTGCAGCCCCCCAAAGTGTGTTTACCTGGGGGAGAGTCTAATGGGCTATTTGAAAACTTTTATTTGTTTGAGGGCTCCTGTGAATCCTTTGTTTTATCCATTTTCTGTGATGGGCTGTCCTATGCACTTAGCACAGTGCCTGGCACATAGTAGGCACTTAATAAATATTTCTCTATTGATTAACTGATGATCATGTTGTACATTGAGATCCTGTGTGGTAGTTGGTAATCCCACCACACATATTTGGGAAAACCTAGACATAAGCCATACCCAAACTATTTTGGTCCCTCCTGTAAAACTCTAGGGGGTGTGAACCAAGAAGAAAGAGTGGTCTTTTGGGGTCAGATCCCCAGGACTGGACCTGGTTCATGTGAGCCCAGAATCCTTGAGGGGACTCTTGGCCATGGTTTATACTCACAACCACCCTATAAGGTAATGTCCTAGTTCACTAGACTTGTTTTCAGTCTTAGTAAGGCCTTAACGAAAGAGACAGACTGTCCAGAGATGCTCAAAGCAGTGAGCCCTTACCAAGGTGCACTTTAATTCACAGAATGGAAGGTATGAGTCTCAATATGAAATACCATGGGGTGGACTAAGATAATGAAGAATATACCCAGGGGGTCAGGAATTCACAAACACCCTAAGGAAGATGACTGCAACCTCAGTGGGAGAGAGAGTTGACAAGCATGAAAAAGGCTCCCCTTTGGATGGGAAACACTGAAGTTCTGCCAAGTTCTTGTCACTCCTTCTAGGTTGATGGGTGGGAAACCTGGGTGCTCCATCATTTTATATTTCAGAGCAGCTCATGACATACCATAGCTCTGCCTAAGTGCTGGGATAGTCCCAGACATTGTAGCAGAAGCAAAATTAATAAGGGTGAAGAGGCTTTACAGTGAGGGGTGTGGTCTTTCTCAGGTGTGTCTGATTGGTTTCCCACCTATGACGTCATAGGCAGAAAGACACTAGGGATTGGCTAGAAACACTGGGCATGGAAGTTTCCAGAAAAGGGAAAGGATCCTAGGAGAAGGAAGCATATGTAGCAGAGAGACAGCCTGTCAAAACAAAGGCTATGGGTTTTTTGTCCTGTCACTGGTAGATAGTGGAGGTATTACTATGCCCATTTTTACAGCTGAGGAAACTGAGTCTTGGAAAGGTTAAGTGCTTTGCTTAAGGTCATACCACCAGTAAGTGGGGTCATACCACCAGTAAGTGGCAGAGTTGGGGTGGGAACCCAGGTCTTCTATCTTCTGAATCCTGTATTTCACCCACTACATCAGGTTGCCTCACACATTGCTCCACACAAGCTCATATTGCAAGAGTATTGCTATCATTATGCAATGATAATGACCTGAAATGTCTGAGCCTAAAATTTCTTTTAGAATTCACATTTCTAAAAAAAAAAAAAAAAAGAAGTCAGAGTTCTTCTCAGTCAGACAAATATAAAGTTTTTCTGTTTTATTCTCCAAGTAGTAGTGATGAATAATGTCAAACTAACACTAGGACATAGGAGAGGATGGACTGACTTCCCCCAATAACATGGAATTTGGGTGTGAACATCCCACTCTTTAGGAGGGGGTGGAAATTTCCATATACTGACTGGTTTGTGCGGGCACATTCCTCTCCTCCAAGAGTAGGGTTAGAAGAATCTGATTCATTAACACTAACTGCAGCAACAATCTTATACTGAAAAGATGATTGTTCATGTAAGGGGGTACCTTGTTTAGATGTCAACAAGATTAAAGGTCACAAGGGAAAAAATGCAGAAATATGAAGGAAGAGGCAAAGGAAACATCCTACACCTTAGAAAAGCCATGATAATGCTTCAATAATTTGATTGCATATGAAGTGCAGCCCCAGGTTTTGGAGAGGGGGAGATAATTACTGTTCTTGCTATGCCATTTGAATTAATGCCTTTGTTGAGAGCTGAGTCTGCTAGCTTATTGATAAGAGGAAGGACTCCAGTGAGAGATCATAAGATACCCAGACAGTTACTTCAAGAACCTTGAGACTAGAAGCAACTACCCCTCTGGAGACTGAACCTGTTAGTGCCAGTGTGAGTTGGGGAAGTGAGCCCAGAGAGGGTGCTACATTACAATTTTCAGTTTTGGCCATGTTTTAGTGGGGAGAAGTGTAGAATGATGGCAAGCTTACATTTCCTACCATACTATGTAGCATGCATATGTCTGTCAGACCAGGGCTTTATTTCCTAAGAAGTTAACAAATGGGCATAGGAGATATTTCTTAAGAACAAAAATATCGAAATACTGAGAAGAGGAAGCTTCCTGTCTGGACTATGCTAGGGAAGATGAAGGAAGCTAGGAATGAAACCATTTAGGGAAGGCATGCAGAGAATATTTGTAAAATTTTCCCATTTCTTTTTTCTGTCCTAATGAAATGTTTTTGCTGATGTTTATTCTGTTCTTTACCTAGGTTTCTGTTAGGACAGGAATAGCTGAATAGCTCAACCTGAACTGACTTTTAAGGCTCTCAGTTTCACACTGTAGTGGAACCCAACTCTCCCCAACCAGAAAACATTTCTTTTACTTCAGCACATACACATGTCAGGAGAGTAATCAGAGGAATCTCTCCACATAATTAAGAGAGAGTACCTTATCTCTGGGAATGGAGTGTCTCGACAGGTTAATAAAAAGGTCATAGTCTGAAGGCAGTACAGAGCAGGGATCCTTGTGGACCACAGATTCAAAGGCTTCCCATATTGCTGAACAGTTTTTCTTACTATAAGGGAAAAAGATAAGCAATGGTATTGATTCATTATTTTGAAAGATCCACGACTTAAATCCAATTCAAGAAACACTTGTTAAGCACCTACTATGTACTTAACAAGCTGTTATAACAGTGTTAACAACAATTTTTTAAAAAGCCCTGATGAGACAGCTAGGTGGCAAAGCAGATAGATCACTGGCCCTGGAGTCAGGAGGACCTGAGTTCAAATCTGACCTCAGACACATAACACTTAGTAGCTGTGTGACTCTGGGCAAATCACTTAACCCCAGTTGCCTTGCCAACAATAACAAAAAAAAAAGCCCCAGCACTATAGGAGTTTACATTTGACTGAAACTTAAGTTCTATTGTCAGGAAGTAACATATGCACACAAAAGTGTGAAAAATGATTTCTCTTGGTAATCTGTGTTTTGGAGACTCAGAGCTCCACACTGCTAGCCTTTGGTCCAAAGTTATTCAGAAGGACATCTCTGATAATAAGGAAGCATTGAATCTTCTTATCTTGGTCAAACCCCAACCCAGGCCAGAATTGATTTATCCTACTCAGGTTTGGATGGAGACAGACTTCCAAGGCAAGGGGTGGTATTTTCTTTGATGGCGGTCTATATTGGCCCCTGTGGACTGAGTGATCTAAGGAACTCACCCACCCCCTAGTATGTTGACCAATCACGGTTGATTGGCACCCCTTTGGGAACACCAACCCTTCCAAGGGCATATAACGCTGTACCCCAACATCCCAAACTGAGCCAGTTCTGAACTAGCCCCCTTAGGGGGCCCCAGTTTTGGACTGAACTCCCATGCAATGCATGTCAAGCCACTTTGAGAAATTAAATCTCAGACTCATGCGCCCTAACAGCGCAGACTCTGTTTCAAATTGGGGTTCATGGGGTTCAGGATTCACAAAAGTAAATACACAATATTTACAAAGTATAAAATAATTAGGGGAGGGAGAGGGCAGGGACTGGATGGCTAGGTAGTGTAGTAGATAGCACACTGGGTCTGGAATCAAGAAGCCCTAAGTTCACACCTGGCCTCAGACACTTACTAGTTAGATATATGAGCCTGGGCACACAACTCTTAACCTCTGTCTGCCTCAGCTTTTCAAATCTAAAATGGGGGTGATAACAGCACCTACCTTATAGGGTTGTAGTGACGATAAAATGAGATGATATTTGTAAAGTGCCTGGCACATAGTAAGCACCACATAAATGCTTGTTTCTTTCCCTCTCCCTACAGATGTGCTCTCCACCAAGATAGTTCACAATCTTCTAATCCTTAGTAATCAGTCCATAAGTATTTATTAAGCATTTACAATGTGCCAGGCACTGTGCTAAGACCTGGGGGTGCAAAAAAAAAAGACGAAAATAGGTCCCTGCCCTCAAGAAGTTTAGGTTCTAATGGGGGAGACAACTATGAAAATAACTAGTTAGATAAGATACTTGTTAGAGTAGATGGAGGGTTAGCTTTAAAGAGAAAGGTGAGATATGAGCTGAGGCTTAAAGAAAGCCAGGAAAAAAAAAAAAGGCTGAGAGATAAGGAGGAAGAGCAAAGTGACCCAGAGAGCACAACAGAAGATAAGCTTCTTACAAAGCAGTTTTGGCTAAGATCTAGTTGGGCCTAAAGGCAGGGAGAAGTACTTAATAGTATGCTAAAATTGTCACGGTGAGAAAAGAATGAGTCCTTTAGCCTAGTCATTTTCACCGGATGGAAGAAAACAGTACCTTCTTATCTGTCAGTTAATTAGCATTGGTTAAGCTCCTACAATAAGCTTTATAGGGTAAGATAAAGAGAAGGGGGTGAGTTCCTGGAACTATTTAAGATCCTAAGAGTTTTCTTTTGTAATCATAAAGTGACTGGAGGAAGGGAGGTACTGAAGGAGACACTCAGTATCTGTCAGAGACATCATCCAGAAAGGGCAAGGAATATAATAGCAAATATAGGACAAAATGGAATCAATTTTGTTTTCCCAAAAATCCACTTTCAACACCCTCAACAGTAATAGGAAAATTTTTGAAGATGGAAAGGTTTTTTGGGGGAAGATAATGAGTTCTGTTTTGGAGATGCCTATAGTACCTATAGGCACCTATGTGCCTATAGTACCTATATGTTATATGTAGTAAGTATATAGTATGTACTGTATATAGCATATATGCTATATACCTTACAGTACCTATAAGTACCTACATGCCTATAGTATCTATAGTTTGGAGATGCCTGTATTGTCTATATGTACCTTTATGCCTATAGTATCTATATAACTATAGTACCTATATACTATATATAGTATATGTATAGCACATATAGTATATACGATAATACCTATATGTACTTATATGCCTATGGTGCCTATAGTTTGGAGATACTATCTGTAGTTTGGAAATGCCTATAGTTCCTATAGTTTGAGATTTCCAAGAGGCAGATGATAGGAGACTGGAGCTAAGGAAAAGAACTAAGGCTAGATAAATAGATATAGGAATCTGCATAAAGATGATAATTGAATGCATGAAAACTAAAGAGATGACTAAGCTTGTATAGGACACAAAAAGAGAAGGACGCCCAGGACCAAGCCTTGAGGTATAGTCTCCATGAGTTTCTATGGACAGAGAAAATTGCCTGATAGTCAATACAGCCCTGGTGAAAAACCCCTCTGCATTTAGCTAGGCTGATTTGCAGAGGACATCCATAATATGCTGTCTTTGTCAAAGGGGCATCTAGAAGCCTTTTGAACTATAGGATCTACCTAAATATATGACATATAAAAGTCCTTAGTAAATTGTCAAGTGTTCTATGGTTGATATTATTACTTGAAATCCATTTTCACATTGCTTTAAATGAGAAAGCCTCTTATCCCAAGGTTCCTGAGATAGTAGTTCTGCTTTGGAGTTATAAAATAAAAATATAAAGAGAAGAAAAAAGAAAGGCAGGGAGTCAGAGGAATTTTGAAAACAGGAGAGTAGGGCAGACCAGGAGACCTAGGCTCTCAGCTCCTCCTCCTCTTCCCCTGTCAGACAAATGTCCCTCCCTACTCCACAAAGAATACTTAACTTTTATCTAAAGGAGATACTTCTTACGACTTACCTGAGTTCTGGGTTCACCACGGAGATATACTCATTGCATCTGCCCAGGAAGATACTCTCCAGGTGGGGATTAGTGCCTTCCCCACTCCATCGTTTCTCTCCTGCCCTGGTATACACATTAGCTTGTCCCATCAGAAACAATAACAGAAAGAGCATCAGTCCCTGCAGTGCTAGGTCAGAGGACTCCATGGAGGAATTCCCTGCTGGGGAAGTCACTTCTCTGTAGTGGGGCAGGAAAGGGGGAAGAATATCTCTCTGTGCTACTGATAAGCCGACCTGGTGTAAATAGCTTAGTTAGCTGATTCAAGCAGCAACTAACTGCTCAGAAAGAAGAGGCTTTGTGTTCTTATAACTTTTGACCTTCTTTCCTAGTTCCTATTCCTTCTTTCCTTTTCCCTTTCTCTTTCTTCTCTTGCTCCCTCGGGCAGACGTCCTTCCTACTGGAACTTTTGGACCTGCCCAGGAAGCAAGGCATTTGCTACCGTCAGCAACACAAACTTGCAAACCCTTCCTTTCCTTCCTGCTTCATTTGGTATCCCCTTTTACTCTCACTAAGCAGAAGATACTTCTCTTTGAATGAATGGAAAAAAAAGTAGTTATTAAATACTTACTATGTCCCAATCACCTTGCTAAGCACAGGAAGTAATAACTTGCAGCACTCTTTTATAATTTTTTAACAGCATTTATGATGCAGTGGAAAGAGTAGACAGAAGTAGGAATCAGAAAAATCAGGATTCAGAGCTTCACCTCTTCTTGGTTTTCTTATTTCTAAAATGGTAATAATCATAGCTAAGCTGGTTGTCTCACAAACTTGTTGAGATCACCATTTTGCTCTCCTGAGATCTAGTGGCTAATCATCAATTGCCTATTGACCATTTCACACTGTATTTCTCATGGGCATCTCAAGATTGTCAGGCCTGAAACACAATTCATTACCTCTTCTGTCAACATCCATCTCTCTTCTGAACTTCCTGTTTCCGCAGAGTATATCATCATTCTCCCTGTTTCATGGTCTTCTATTAATCCTGACTCCTTTATGTCATCTCATCTATCCATTCAGTTGCTCCTCACTCTATCCACATCTTGTTTCTGGTTCTATGATATCTCAGTCCACCCCCTCCCTTTTTTTACCCACCCTAATTTAAGCCCTTATCACCTCTCATCTGGATAGCTTTGGAATATAAGCTTGCTCTCCCAGGGCAATAGGGAGAAGGAAGGGAATAGGGAGAAGAAGAATGTCAACACCATCATTCTTCACAAGAAAGGACAGCTGCAGTACTTTTGTTGTGGCCTTACATCCTCCTACTACAGGCTTTTTGAAATATCTCACCCCTGTCAGAGATAGAGGCATCAGCAGTAACAGCAACACCAGGGGTGGATGTTGGGGTCAGGGAGGAGAGAAGAATATCTGGCCCTTCCCTTTCTTCGCCCCAGGAGCTCTTTCCTGCTCCCCTTCACTCCCTTGGAGGATATCCAGATCTCTTAGTTGAAACCACTTGGGCAAGGGAGGACTTAGTCACCAGCAAGATCTGCCTTTGCCTCCAAGGCCTTTGACTGTGATCTCTCTTGTTCATTGCAGTGGTCCTCTCAAAGTCCTCCAATTCTGTAGCCCTCTCAGTACTTGAGCATCTTTGATCGCCACTTGTTAGAACCCTTGCATACTTCTTGCATCTTCTAAGATTTCAGCTCTCCCCCTCCTTCAGGGCAATGAGAGAAGGGGCCTACCAAGTGGCACAAAACCAGTCCAGTGGGATAGAATGTTGAATTTGCAGTCAGAGAGACTTGTGTTTGAATCCTACCTTAGATACCACCTGACCCTGAAAAGGGTCTCTCAGCCTAATTTTCCTCATTTACAAAATGGGGATAATAATAGCAACTACCTAAAAGTGTTGTTGGATCAAATGAGAATACATGAAATGCTTTGCAAATCTTAAAGCCCTTAGATAAATGCTAACTACTTTTATTTCCCCAGGGCAGTCACAGCTCCAATGGCCCTTGGATCAGAAAACATGGATGATTTCTATCCCGCAGGCCTCCATCTCAGCTATGCTCTAATTCCTTCCTTGAATAGAAATATATACTGGAAGAGCCATTGAATTGGGAGCACAGAAGACCTAGGTTTGAGCCCCAGAACTGGCATTTAATAGTTCTGTAATCATGATCAAATCCCTTGACCTTTTTGTGGCTGTTTCCTGGTCTGTGAAATGAGGAGGCAGGGCTTGAGAATCTCCAGGTCCTCCCAGCTCTGGCATTCTGTGATTCCATTCTACTCCATGACTCCTCCAGTTAAACTGGTTTATCAATCCTCTGGAGCAAGCCTCAGTGTCTTAGCTCATAATGCTTTGCTATGCACTTATATGTTCTTTTGCTAAAGTGGGAAACTCTATTAACACATTGTAGAAGGATTTTCAATAATAAAGTTTGATATAGGAGTTTTGGCTAAACTTTGATTAACCCCAAATTTCAATTTCAAGGAACATCCCAGTCCACTTTTTCTATAAAGCCTGAATTGATCATTTCCTTCTTTGAACTCTTATATCAATTATTGTTCATTATTTTTCATTAGGCATTTAAGTGCCTGACAGTCTTGTTGCCTTGAAATGTTCATTCAAATACTGCAACCGTATTTGACTTTTTGTGCATTGTCCTTGTATCTGTAACTATATTTGTTATCTATATCAATATCATGAATTCCATGAAGCCATTGTTGAATCAGAAATAAGCTTTATTAAGGACCTGGGAAGGCCAGGTGTCCTGTATGTGTGAGATCACATGTATCAACAAATGCACACCTTTTTTATTCCCTATTCCCCATTCAAATTTCCTTCCCCTGTTTCCCCATTCCTTGGGTACTATAGAGGTTACAGCCTATCCAAAGCACCTAATTTCCCCATGTGAGTCTCTACCCCTAATTACATCTCCCACTCCCCACAACTGGGTGACTGAGCTTTTCTTGGGAGCACCCTTTTTTACGGTAATCTACAACCTCAGAACTGGCTTTCCGCTGGTTACCTATTCACCACCAAGAGTGTTTTCTTATTCTAATATAACACCCTTTGTTCAACTTCCACCTAGCGCCCCACCCCACCACTGCATTCCTTTCCACTAGACTTTTTGTGGAAAAACTATTTCTCTGACTCCAATCTCTGATTGAGTGATATGCAGAAGCAACATCCATATATCCCACATATTATAAGGTCTTTAAGGGCAGGGATGATATCTTTATGATTCTTTGTATCCTCCCCAGAGTCTGGCATGCACGCATGTGCACACACACACACATACACACACACACACTCCATGAGACTAAGAGAGGCAATGTGCAATGGTGGGTAGAGGGCTAACCTTGGAATCAAGAAATCAAGAAACTCTGCCTAGCTCTGCCTCTAACTCATATTAACTATGTAATCCTAGGGAAATTATTTAATCTCTTAGAGCACTGAGCAACTATCTGTAAATACCAAGAAGCTGTCAGTCTGCTTTGGCAGGAGGTGGGTCTACACCAGGAGTTTCTCATATTGATTGAAACACAATACTTGACCCCTCCTCCCCTTTAAGAAAAAAACAAACCAGGGGCAGCTAGGTTGCACAGTGGATAGAGCACTGGCCCTTCAGTCAGGAGGACCTGAGTTCAAATCCAGTCTCAGACACACTCACTAGCTGTGTGACCCTGGGCAAGTCACTTAAATTAACTCCAACGGCCTCACCAAAAAAAAAAAATCCAAACCTAGAACATTATTTTCCAACATGCAGAGTCAAAACAGGATGATTGAAGTGAGGTGATAGTTCTACATGAAAACTTTTTCCCTTATGTTCCCAACTTTTTTCTTTATTTTATTCTGATGATATATTTATATTTGCAAAATATTTCATAGTCATTTTTTACTTCAATACAACTCTATATAGTAGGTCAATGTTGCTCTTTTTCTCTGGAAGGCCAATTATTATGCTATATTTTTGCATTATTCAGTCATTTTTTTAATGTTCGACTCTTCATGACCCCATCTGGTTTTGTTTGTTTGGTTTTTTTTTGGCAAAAATACTGAAGTGATTTGCCCTTTTCTCCTCCAGCTCATTTTACAGAAACTGAGGCAAGCAAGGTTAAGTGACTTGCCCAGGATCATAAAGCTAGTAAATATCTGAGGCCAGATTTGAACTCAGAAAGATGTCTTCCTGAGTCCTAGCCCAGTGCTCTATCGACTGCATCACCTAGCTGAACATTATGCTATACAATCGTGTTCAGTTTGAAAACTGGAAGGAACTTTAGAAATCATCTAGTCATTCCTCCTCATTTTATACATGATAAAGTGAGCCACCATCACCCCCTAAATAAACTTGTCTAATGTCACAAAGAGGACATTGGAAAAAGTATTTTTCTAGTGCTCTAGAGGACTGCTGGTCAGATCTTGCCTTTGATGTTTGTCATCTGCTTGACCTTAGACAAGTTGCTTAACCTCCTGGGCCTAGGTTTCCTCATTTGTAAAAGGAGGAAGTTGGCCCAGATGACCTCTTAGGTCCCTTCTAACTCCATATGTATGATCCTATAATATATCACCAGAGTGAGAATTGGAATTCAGGTCTGAATATGGAAACAACACCGAATATGAAGTCAAAGGTTGCTTTTCTGAAAAGTCAGACAGCTTTACTTTTTTTTTCCTGAGAATTAGGCCTTTGCTAAAAATAATTATTGAGCCATAATTCTTTTCTGCCAGTCAGTCACCAATTTAGTAACAGGCACCATTTTACAAGTCTGACAATTTGAACCACTCCTGGGGCCAAGGACTAGGGCATAACTCCTCTTCTCCACTAAGAGGATTTCTCTGACCTGGACTCATGAATATGATGACTGGGTTCAGCCCTTGGGGAGCCTGAGTTCTTTCCAAAGGGAGATTAGAGAGATACTCAATGCACAATATGAATCAGTTATAGAGCAGCTATTTACTTCCTTTGTGCAAAAGGAATACTCAACAAATATAAACATGATTTGACAGTAATGCTCAAAATAAGATACAGTAACTTACATTCTTCTGAAAGGTTGATGCTTAAAACTTCAAAATATGATGCAATTTGCAGGTATTTTGTATTTCTTCATACCATCTAAACAATTCCCACCAGGTCCATGCCTTCTGACAAACCCAGCCAGTGTTCTTTACTTTGTAGATAGTCATCTTATTCAATGCAGAAACTCTCAGTGAATGTCAACCACGGGACACAAGATTTTGAGACTTATCAATTTTACAAGACTTCTTTCAAGGCTGGTTCCTTCTCAGCATCACTGTTTGGATAGAAACACAAAGACAAAAAAAAGGGCAGCCAGAAACTCTAAGGCCTAGGCTCAACTCAATTCATCTATCCCTTACTCTTCAAAGGAAAGTTTCTAATTATGCTTACATGATTTGCATGCAGAAAGA